GAGGCTGAGGCAGGAGAATGGCGTGAACCCGGGAGGCGGAGCTTGCAGTGAGCGGAGATCCGGCCACTGCACTCTAGCCTGGGCGACAGAGCGAGACTCCCTCTCAAAAAAAAAAAAAAAAAAGTCATTTTTTGCTTATTCACATACTTACTGAGTAGCTACCATGTAATATACACTGTCATAATCCTGCAAATAGGATGAAAAGTATATGACTTTTATGCTTATCAAAGGGCCTTTGTGAGGCTGGGCATGGTGGCTCACGCCTGTAATCCCAGCACTTTGGGAGGCTGAGGCGGTTGGATCACTTCAGGTCTGGAGTTCAAGACCAGCCTGGTCAACATGGCAAAACCCCGTCTCTACTAAAAACACAAAAATTAGCCGAGCGTGATGGTGGGTGCCTGTAATCCCAGCTACTTGTGAGGCTGAGGCAGGAGAATCGCTTGAACCAGGAGATTGTGCAGAGCCAATGTGAAAGCATGAGGTCCGGGGTAAAGAGGTAGTTGTTTTGGGGAGTAGATCGGTACAGATGCTCCTCTACCGATGATGAAGTTAGATCCCAATAAGCCCCATTGTGATTGAAAATATTGTAAACTGAAAATGTACTTAATACACTCAACCTACGAATATCATACCTCAGCCTGGACTGCCTGAAATGTAATCAGAACACTTGCATTAACCTACAGTTGGGCAAAATTATCTAACACGGTGCCTCTTTTATAATAAAGTGTTTACTATCTCATATAATGTATTGAATACTGAAAGTGAAAAGCAGAATGGCTGTACGGGCACTCAGGCGATTTCTACTGAGCGCGTCTCACTTTTGCAACATCGTAATGTCAAAAAATTGTAAGTCAAACCATTGACAGGAGCGCGTCTGTATCTGTGACGAAGTGATTAAAGATGTGGGTTAACTTCATTTACACACTCCATAGTTGGGAAACAGATTTTTAGATGTAGGGGCAAGATGTTTAGATGTATGAGCAAGATTTTTTTCTGTGTGTGAATGTTTCACTCAAAGAATCCTGTGTGCTGACTTCTGATTTCAGAAATATATTTTTGAGTAATAACTATTGAAATTTATCTAAATAATAATTCTTGATGACATAACAAAATTTTGCTATGATTCTAAATGAAAATTCCTTTTTTAAAATAAAACTTATATTAAGAACATGCCAAAAGAGGGGATCAAAATACTCTTTAGCTTCCTGATATAAATGAAAAATGAAATGATCATGTAAGTCCACAAACACTGAATTGCACAGTGCCTGCATATGGTACAAATTAGAAATGGATACCGCTTTTGAGGGAGAAGGAATCCTGGATTTTGTTAAAAAGGTATGCAGAACCTCTGTTTTTGAAACCATCAGCTAGAGAATCCATTAACCCTGAAGAAAGCACGTAAAAGGAGATTTGTATCTCATACCGTGTATCCCAATAAATTCCTGATTAGAGAAGAAACTGAGGTGAATATTTTTTAACTGTGAAGGGGAGATTTCCTCTTTGAAACCAGTAGATAGAACTATAAAGTTGAAGAGAAATAAGAATATAATAGTTCAGTCTAATGAACAGCCATAAAACAAATAAAAAGGAAACAACAGAATGGGGGAAATATTTGTAGGGAAATATTTGTAATACACATTAAAAAGTTCAACTTTGAATATTGACAGACCTCACTACCCCCAGAGGGACAAATGAACAAATGTCAGGCGTTGACTTTATCTGGAGGAGGAAACAAATAGTAAAAAAAAAGTTTTAAAACAGAAAAAATAGCGAATGTATTCTGGGCTTAATACCTACATACGGGTTGACAGGTCCAGCAGATCGCCATGGCACATGTTTACCTGTGTAACAGACCTGCACATCCTGCACATATACCCTGGAACTGTAAAAAGTCAAAAAAAATTTTCAACGTTAATAATTTAAAAAACCCTCAAAATAACTATGAGCTACTATTTATGTTTAAATTAGCAAAAATAAATGGATACAGTACAATGAATGCGAATGTTTAAAAAATAGGAATGTTAATTGTAGAATTGCATTTCATAAAACATTTCTGGAAGTATATAGCAAAAGTGTTCTTGGCTGGGTAAATCTAATCATTGAACATTAATCCGAGGAAATAGTTATAAAAAGAAGACAGTACTAGACTCTACTATATTTTACTAACTCTAAGATACCAGTGACTTTAGGATACACTATTATTTTATGCATTATTAAGAAAAAAATGCTACCTATTAAATTATAGTGCTTTTTAAAAATAAAAAATGGTTAGAAGGAGCTATTTTAGACTTATTTTGACATAATTTTAAAATTATATCATACTTGTGCATTCATAAAAAGACACACTGAAGCAAAATAAATTGGTTGAGGTATAAGCTGCTTTGTGTGCAGAGCCTGAATTCTTTTTCCTGCATCACTGTTTGACTTCACTGTGGATGTTGGAGCCTTTCTGTATGCTCTCATCTTCTGTGCCATCGAGAGTGTTGATGCAGCTGCAGTATTTTAAAAATAAGTGCTCTGCTGTTGCCCCGGGATGTTGCCTCAAGCCACTGATCACCTTCCTGCAAGTTTTGATACTGTGCTTTCCCATTTGACTGAACTCATCTGTGCCTTTTTCCTCAATTGAATCACATATCCTTGGAAGTGGAGAGGTTTCGGATCAAGTCTGTAGGAAGTTTCTGACAGCTGATGCCTTACTGAGAAGCCCTGCAGGACGCACGCCAGCCTTGCATGGCTTTCAGATTTCTTGTGTTTGTTCTCAGGGAAATGACAGAGCTTTTTGGCCTTCGTTTGCATTGCTTGGCAAGTGTCCACTCATGAGGTGTCAGTGGGCTTATAACAGAATGAGGTGAGAACAGTACAAAGAGCTTGACCAGGTTTGTGCAGGAACAGTAGGCAGGTAGCAAGAGCTCCATCGTGGCCATGACTGTAGAAGGCCCTAGAGTGTGAAACACATCCTGACGTCTGACCTGTGAAAATATTTAAAAATACACCTTGGAATTGATAGATTAGGGTAAGATTTATAATAGTAAAGTGATAATCCATCTAAAAGTACAACTACAGGGGCATAGTTAGTTAAATTATAGAATACAGACTATGTAGTCTATTCCACAGTAAAAAATAAAGTGTCTTTATAAGTATTTCCATATATATAAAATAATCCATAAAATTGTATATGATTAATTCACTTAGTAATTGATATATTGAACTCTTACTGTGTTTGAGACCCTAGAAAACAGACTGGCTCCCTGTGTTCAGGGAACCTTTATTCTAGAGCAGAAATGGACAGAAAGATGTAAACAAGCAAATAACTCATGGGGTAAGTTCCATGAAGGAAACAGATGGTGCAGAAAGAGCAGGTAACAAGAAGGGACCGATTTTGATGTGATGGTTAGGGAAGGCCTTGCTGACGAGGCACTGCTGAGGCTGAGAACTATGGAATGGGGCCAGCACTACAGAGGGTTATGGCAGGGGTGAGGGTGAAACAGCAGGGCTGAATGCTTGGGGTGGTGAAGGACTTGGGCATGTTTGAGCAGCTGAAAACAGGCCCTGTTGACTGAAGCGTGGGTCAGGGGGACTGACAAGGGCTGAGGTTGCTTTTCCAGGTTGGGGAGATTGTGGAGCCCTTTGGAGATTATCAAGTATTTCAGGTTTACTATGAGATGAGAAGCCATTGCCTGCATGACAAGATCTGATTGTGTGTTCTTTTTATTGATACATATTAGTTGTACATATTTTTGGGATACATGTGATATTTTGATGCCTGTATATGATGTGTAATGATTCAACTGGGGTAACTGGGATTTGAGACCACTCTGGCTACTGTGTAGATTGCAGAGAAAAGGAGAGGCCAGTCAGAAGGCCAAGTGATCATCCAGGCAAGAAATGGTCTTGGCATGCATCAGGGTGGCAAAAGTAGGGATGGAGAACACCTGAGGGAGCGGCAGTCCTTGCTAAAGGCATATGGAAGCAAGCAGAGAAATCAAAGGCACCTTTGGTTTCAAGTCTGAGCAGCTGGGTGGAAGGTATTCATCAAGATGGGGAAGATGGGTGGGGGCGTGAGTTGGAAAGCATTGAGAATTCCATTCTGGACATGCTAAGTTTCATCTGTTTGTGAGACATCCAAAACATCCAGTCAGACACACTCAGAGGGAATAGAGAAAGAGGGTCTGGGATGGAGATATTAATCTGGGAGTCATTAGCATAGAGTTGGTTGGAAATGAAAGTGGCCACCTGAAGTCAAAATAAGAAGGCCGTACACTCTAACTAAGCTTTGAGCCACACCAATATGTAGAAGTTAGGGAGAAAAAAAAGAGGCAAACAGAGTGATCGGAAGTAGCCAGTGGGTGGGCGGGAGAAGGTGGTTGCCTTTGAAGTTGTCATTGGTGACTCCAGTAAGGGGTGTTTGGTGGCAACCACTGTAACTACAACCCTGTAAAAACCAGTGTTTAAATATAGATAAGAAATCAGAGGAGGCTGTTTTATTTAGTTGAAGAGACTATGATTATAATTCCTGTGAAGTTATTCTAGTAACAGTAACTATTTTCTGAAAAAGAAAAAGAAAAAACAGGCAGTATGTCTTGGCAAATGAACTCCCTGACTGATGTGCTGGAAAGGTATTGCAAGGGGAGCTCACAGCGTGATCTTTTTTTCCTTTGTTAATGGGCTGTGGAAAAGCCTGAATTGTTTCCTGGAAGCAGGAGAAATAATGTAAGCATGTGAGGAACATCTGGTGATGTCCCCAGTTCTTGATGATATACTTGCTTCTTGCAGGTGTGGTATGCCGCGTCCTATGCTGAGTTCGTGAACCAGAAAATTCATGACATTTCTGAGGAAGAAAGGAAAGGTGGTTAGACGTTTATGTTTTACATTTTCTATATGAATTCTAAATTGTATATATCACATCTTTATGAAACCTCTAATTTTTTGTCTCAGTATATTTCAGAAACTATTCCAGTAGGTTTTTTGGAGACACACATCTCCATCTAATTCAGTGTCAAATTACAATGACGTTTACATTTCTTTCATGTGTGCTGGAAAATAATATTTAATATAATGAAAACTTCCAAATGCCAAATTAGAACC